ACCTGACTCTCCAGAGTGGCCACTAACTTGTCCATGGCGGCAGGTGGACACACATATGCCAGAGATAGCATGGCACTGCTAACACTGGGGGCCTCCTCCATCCTTCATTCCGATTTATTGAGTGCCTCAGACAAACGCTCAGCCTGCCTGTGCATTTTTACCAAGAAATTAATGGCCAAGACCATGGGATCGTCTTCTACCCTGGGGCTAAGCAGGTGTTTGGTCTTCAGCAATAGTCTGAGTGTCAGCAACTTGGAGCATTTCACCCTCAATCAGCCACAAAGGCATGACAGTGATGTACTCACCAGATTGTGCTTCTGAGTCTAACCCAGATATAGTACCCTAATGAGGTTAAAATCCTTTGAACTGCTGGAAGGTGCAGGTGAAAGACTTGCTGGTACATCTGCCGGGTTCAGTGCTTCCTTCTCAGATGTGGAGAGGTGGAGTTGAAACTAAGGATCTCCAGTGCTGGCCTCTTTTTGTCTGATGTTCCCTGGGTGCAACTAGTGCTGTGTCATAAGAAAAGAGAGGGAATTAGTTGTTCTAAGGGGGAAAAGGCCTATGCAGGGTAAGATTGAGTTGACACCATTGGTACCGGGAGCACGATTTTGGTTGGTCATAGAGGTTTTTCCATCTCTGCATGAGCGGTCATGCTATTTCTCAGCTAAGTTTATGAATTTTCTCTTCAAATGTAGTGATGATGACCACCACGCTACCATCAGTCTTGGTCCTCTCAACCCAGTTGTGGGCCAACTTTTCCTGCAGTGAGACAAAGGGAGGAATTGAGTATGCTGTAAGTGGGTGGAAGTGGTGATTCAGGAGCATGAGATGGTGTAATGACCCTTGTGAGTGGGGAAGAGGTGCAGAGAGTGGGAATAGTTAATAGCTTGGAAGGATGCTCTGGGTAAGAGCCTTTGAGTAAACATTTTGCATACAATAGTGAGCGTGGTAATTCCTGAGTCTTGGTGAGAGGCGTGTATTGTGGCAGAGTTAGTGTAAGTCGTGACCCTGTGACTGAATGGTAGTAGTGAGAAGATAGTGGCACCTACCCTTGCAGAATGTGGAAGTTCATTGACCTTTTTCCCTGCACTTCTGAGTGTTCCTTTTTAATTTATGACACTGCACTGACCTGGACCACTACCTCAATTCAGAATGGATGTGTCTGATGACATGGTCAGCAGGATAACGCATTACTTTGTTCTCAGTCACCCTATCCACCATCTCCTCTGGTCCCTGAAGGTACAACAGAGTCGGGGATGGCTTCCCTTCCTGGGTCATGTCCTCAGCTGTAAATGTTAAGCAATGCAATACGAGGACCAGTTCATGGCTTGCAGCGTTTGAAGTAGTGTGCAGCTCAGCTTTAAGTATGGTGGCAAAAGATCCTGCCATGTAATTCCATGAAAAGGTCACCGAAAAGGCCGGCTGCATAATTAATCAGATGAATAGCGGAAGATGCATGAAAAAAATCGCTGTGAGCTATGATGGAGCAGGTGCTATGTATCTCAGTCACCATATCACTTTAAATGAAAATTTGAACATTCAGCCCCAAGATTTTTTGGAAAGGTTTGAGATCAAGTAATGTAGGCTGTACTTTTCTTAATTTTTTCTTAATTTATGATCAATGTAATGAATCTTAATGAAGAGTATAGGAGAGCATGCCAGGAGCAGCACCAGACATACCTAAAAAGTGAGACATTAACCTGAGGAAGCTATAGGGCTGCTTGCATGGAACACAACATAAGCAGTAAGTGATAGGCAGATCTAAGCAATCTCACAAAAAAAATGCATCACTTCTAAACTCTGCCATCCTGCCACATCTTATCATGAATGGGTTCAGACAATTAAACAACTCACGGTTGAGGAAAGCTCTAGATATATCTCTACTCTCAACGATAGGGCCAGAATATCAGGACAAAAGATCCAGCTGAAGCACTTGCAAAAATCTTCAACCAGAAGTACCAGAAGTACCAAGTGGGTGATCCATCTCCCCCTCTTCCAGAGGTCCCCAGTTTCACTGATGTCAATCTTCAGCCAATTCAGTTCATTCCATGTGATATCAAGAGGCTGGAGACACAAGATGTTGCAAAGGCTTTGGGCCTTGACAACATTCCAGCAGCAGTACAAAAGACTTGCACTCTGGAACTTGCCACTGCTCTAGCCATATAGCTACAGCACTAGCATGTTGGTTAGGTATGTCCAGTACAAAAGAAGCAGGACAAAACCAATTGAGCGAATTACTGCCCCATCAGTCTACTGTCAATCATGTTGGAACGTGTCATCGACAGTGCTATCAAAGAACAGTTGCTTAGCAATAATTTGCTCACTGATATTCTGTTTGGGTTCTGCCATGGCCACTCAGTTCCTGATCTCATTCCTTCGTTCAAACATGGACAAAGAGATGAGGTGAAGTGACTGCCGTTGACATCAAGGCTGAATTTGACCAAGCATGGCATCAAAGAGTCTGAGCAAAACAGGAGACAATGTGAATCGGGGGAAAGCTTTCCATTGGTTAGAGTCATACCTAGCACAAAGGAAGACAGTTCTGGTTGTTGGAGGCCAATCACTTCAGCTCCAGCACATCTCTAAGGAGTTTCTGAGGGTTGTATCCTAGGCACAAGCATCTTCAGCTACTACATCAATGACATTCCCTCTGTCAAAAGGTCAAAAATGCTGTTGTTTACTGATGATTGCACAATGTCCAGCACCATTCATGACTCCTCAGAAACTGAAGCAGTCCATGTCCTGGCAATATCTAGATTCGGACAGACAAAGTGGCAAGTAATATTGATGCCATACAAATGCCAGGCAATGATCATCTCCAAGAAGAGAAAATCTAATCATTTCCCTCGACAGTCAATGGCATTAAAATCTCTGAATCCCTCACTATGAACGTCCTGGGGGTTACCATTGACTGTAAACTGAACTAGACTAATAAAATTAAGACAGTGGCTATGACAGCAGGTTAGAGACTAGGAATCCTGCAGCAGGCAACTCACCTCCTGTTTCCTCAAAACCTGTCCACCATCTATAAGGTGTGTATGGAATAATCTGCATTTGCCTGAGTGAGTGTAGCTCCAACAGCACCCTACAAACCCACAAACATTACCATTTCAAAGGACAATGACTGCAGGTGCAATGGGAGCACCTCCAATTTCCCCTGCAGGCCACTCACCAGGCTGGCTTAGAAATATTAATGTTCTTTCACTGTTGGTGGATCAAAATCCTGGAATTTCCTCCTGAATGACACTGTCGGTCTGTCTATAGCACATGGCCTGCAGTGGTTCAAGAAGGTAGCTCATCACCACCTTCTCAAGGGCAACTAGAGGTGGACAATAATTGCTGGCTCAGGAGCAACATTCACATACTGTGAATGAATAAAAAAGCTCTAATGTGTTATTTGTTAATCTCATTGAAATCTACTGGAAAGAGAGGAGCACATAGCAGTTCTGAACTCTAGGAAATACATCATCATAAACTGAATGTATAATGTTCCTCTTTGTCATGCAGTGAGGAGTCGTGCTTGCTGTTTAATTGTATGAGTATAGCCTTAAAATGATTTAAGCTACAGAATGGTTCAGACGACTCTTCCTTCATATCTCTGTCCTTGTGAAGAAGGGCTTTTGTCCATCTGGTCGCTTTCTCCTGTGGTGTGGCTGTATTGAGCCACTTATCATGGGAATGAACATTTCCCATCACAACTCTATCTCAATTATATTGCACCATTATAGTAACCACTGAAAAGTTTCCTTCAAATACTAAGAAGCTGAATCAGTAATATTTCAAACTCTCATTCAATCAGTAACTTGGAGTACAGTCATACATGTTCAAGTGTTCTGTCAGCAATCTGAGCAAGCTGAAAAATGCTACTCACAGTTCAAGCTTCAGTTGCCTATGATATCTATTTGTTTGCCATGGGCATGCAATGACTTGGGAGAATGAACAAAAACTTTTCAAACTTCAAAAGGCCCTGAAGGACCTATTATCCTTCCACAAGAGGTGCCACTGACCACATTGTAGAGAATCATTGGACAATTGTGGAATAATGAAAAAGTTGAATTGTTTCAGTCTATTGAAGCACATGCATTTTATCAATATTTGGTTAACAAAAAATATATCCCATATCAAATTAATTGGGGTTAACACCTTTCATCTTTCAAATTACATATATGTGTGTAGCTAAAAGTTGACTTCAGTAAATCAATTTCAAAGTTTGAAGTTAGATAATATAGAAGAATCTGCTGGCAGAAGTATTTTTCTGTTTTAGAAATTGATCTTTCCCTTACCTGCCATGTAATTCACAAGTTACTCTATAATCTAAAATAACAGAGAAAGATTGATTTTGCTGACATGCTTTATAACAGGACCTGCTGAGGCAATTATGGGGTCACACCAACAGTTGGTTGCTGGAAGATGCTGGGCAGTAAACTGAAAGTGGGAAACCCACTCACATTCCCTGTCCTCCTGAGGCTCCCTGTGTTTTTTTTGTTGCATTGAATGTGTGAGACCATTCTTCTGCTGTTTACATTTCCAGTCACATCTGTTAGTCTGAAAGACTGGTCTTTACTGCTGACTGTGGGAATCCGTAATTCTCTGCAAGATCTCACAGCTTACAGCAGGACTTTCAAAAACAGTCCGTGAAATAGAGAGCAAGTTTCTGATGTGGTACTTCCATTCTGGTGATTGATGAAGCTTCTGGAATCAAACTATAATGGAACTTTTCTGATCCCCACTGTGTTCTCTTGAAATAGAAAGAATTCTTTTTCTTAGGTAGGGGTTATCAGTATGCTCGGACTCAGAGATTGTATCCAAAACCAGCTAGTGAGATGTTCTTGAGTTAAATGGCAAAGGTCACTTCAGCAAAAGATTACCAACCAGCTGTTGGCTCCCCAGCATCCCTACCACACCCCCTATACTGCTTCCCCAACCCTCATGTTTGTTAACATTCTGCATGGAGTTACCACTTCAACCAACCTAAGCAATCTTCCAAATTTTATGTTTAAACAGGTATTTTATTGATGATACATACACAAAGTTAGCAATTGTAAGAAAACTTAGCAAAGCAAAATCAATATTCCACAGTAATTGTGGCATAAATCAACAGAAGCTACCAGGATACAAATTTCAGTTAATCATATTTACAACAACATTATTCACACATATTTGGACACATTTTTTACAATTTCCAGGAGAAGAGCAAATTAGAATTCTGTCTACTGAGCTTCACTGCCATTTTGAAATTAAATACTTGAGTGATGAATATTAATTTATGACATTTTTATTATTTGTTTTTCACACGGGCTTTAAATGTGTTTTGTGATATCAAATGTAACAAGTGCTAGATCAGTGACATAAAGTCTATTATAATTGTTATAGAAATATTGTTATATAAATTGAGCAGTGCAGTGGATTAAGCCCCGTCTAAGACCTGGATTCAAGACTGATATGATACAAGTGTTCTCTACCTTCTGGTTATAAAGATTCTGTGTGAAATGAATTCTAATGGTCTTGGGGCAAAAGTGGGAAATTATTCCTAAATTGACAGTAATTGAAAATGTCATGTAGATAGGCCCAATGATAAATAACAAGAGAAATCAAAAATACATTACTGGTGCACTGTGATGTATGCTTTTACATGCTGAGGTGAACTGAGTGGAGAAAATGTCTCCACAGCTGAGAATGTTTGATGCTTTAGATGGAAAATATTGGATGCTTTAGATGGAAAATATTCCATTCCTAACCATTATTATCACTTAGTTTGATGAGTATGAGAATCATTTATCATAGTATGTCCTATACTACTTAGGTCAGTATGTCGTATTTCTTAAGTGTTATCTGTTTAGAACTTGCAGATAATTGATGTAAAAAGTGTTTTTCATTGGAGGTGGATTGTAGACACTTAAGATTCTATTTCTGATAAAATCTTAATGCCTTCATATTTATTCTTTATCCTTGTTTTAGTTACCTCTAACAACTTGAATGTACAAATCATACTGAGATTGTAACTCTAATTAACATTTAGATATTAATGACACTAACCAGGCAATTGATTATTCAGAAAGGTTCAAGTTATGCACAGACAAAAAATTGCTACACTTAACTGAAAACGTAGATAAGGTGTGTGCCACTGAATAGCGATTTAAAGGCATAAATATTTGTCCCCATTATATTTGGATCAAAAGTAACTTTTAAGCAGCCTATACACAAAAATATGCAAATATTTTATAATTTACTGAAGTAGTTTATTTCTAATTCTGAATTTGTTATTATTGAAGCAAGTGCCATCATAATTCAAAATTGTGATCTTTAATATGTAGTGCAATATGAAATATCCTTATTGCTCTATAAAACACCTCTCTTGCACACAATAATCAAGTTGATATTTAGATAAATACAGGAAACAGCAAAGATAACTACTGTGTAAAAGCATCATATCACAATTATAAACAAAGCTGTCAATGCATGTTTATTCCTTAGTTTCTGTCTTCTTAATTTCTTTTGTCTCAGATTCACTTATAGGGATGGAAACAGATGAAAGTTGAGATTTTTCAGAGAACTGTTTTTGTTCATTCTGAATCATTTCTTTCATTGTTTCAAAAACAGTGGACGTATCATCAGTAACTGTTGCTCCAGGAGCAATATCTCCTTGTAATATGGAACTGTCAGTTAAGACAACCACAGTTCCTTCTGTTCTTGTATATTTCTTAGTAAGGGCGTGCCCTTTGGCAGATACAGTGTATTCTGATTTTGGTAGGTGGGATTCAGACAGTTCTTTTGTAGACTTTGCTGGTTCGGCTATCCCACTGGCAGCTTGTTCTTGCATGAGAGTTTCTTTAGTAACCACTGTGGAATGTTCTGTCAGATGTGTACGTGTTATACCTTCAGGTGGTGGAGATATTGGTAAGTTAGAACTTTGAGGGATTCCTGATTTTTTGGTGCTTTCTTGTTTATCATTTGCTTTTGTAATTTTGGTTCCAGTCAGAACAATTTGATGAGACTCAGACGAAGTTTCACAGGTTGGAACTTGGCCTTGATGAGAAGATTCAGATTTACTTGTTTTGGATGATTGGACATTTATCCTGAAATCACCTGATTCCAGCAAGGCGAGCTCAGTTCTTGCAGTTGATGTCACTACTTGACTGGGTGTTATCACATATGTGCCTCCTACTACAGTACCAGGGTCTTTAGATTTCATTGTTACTATTTGAGTTGTACCATCATCAGTAGTTCTATTTTCAGTATCTTCAACCGTTACTTCCTTTGATGTAGGAATGGTTGATGGCGATACTTCATCTGAAGACCCACCAGGTAAAAAGTCATGGCCATCAGATTTTACGTCAGCCACTTTTACACTAGGTTTAATTGGTTCTGTGCTAGAAGTTGGAATTTCATGTGCAGTTTGTTTTTCACCATCAGCAGCTTTTTCTTTTTTCCATGGCGATGAAAAGTTAATTTTTGGAAATTTAAACCAACTTGTCCTCCCCTTTGATGGAGAACTTTCCTCTGTTGCTGTCAATCCAGCATCCTTTTGACCTTTGAGTTCAGGGGCTGTTTTATCCGAATGCTCGCAAGACTTTCCTTGAAGTGATTGACCTGAAACATCAAATATAAGAAACAAAGAACATCAGGGAATTTAAGTTTAGCTTCGTAATTTTTCTGATCAACTTTCAATTTTACCCCACATTGCTTACCTATAGCATCTTTTAATACTGTTTTCTTTTCCAAGTTAATGCACATTTAACTGATATTGCCAGCAATTTCTGTCTTTGTATCACATCACCAGCATCCACAGCTCTTTGTTTTATTATACAACATCAAGACTGTTAATTTGAAAATTACCCTTCCGCATGCTATTTAATTTTCAATGTGCACACTTTCATTAAAGGTAGATTTATGGTTGGCCAATGCTTTCCTCCTTCAGTCTCGAACATATCTTTTACTAATGCTTCAGTATGTGCTTTCTGTTTAGATACATCATCAGCAACAGGGTTCTCACAAACAATACAAATAGCTGGTTGTGATATTGATTATTTCATAACAGCATTAAATTTTGCCGAGATCATTATAAAATTGATAAACTCTAGAAATGGCTCAAAGTCTTTGCTAAGGCTTAATGATCTGGTCCTAAAGGAATGAAGTTGGGTTTCCAAAGCATTCACATGTAATGCTGAAATCACAGATCCCATTTATTTTCTTCTCAGATTCAATTATGTGGCCACTAATAACTCCTGTTTCTTTAATTCTATTATACAGTTAACAATGATAATTGAACATTATGTTCTGAATGTTTCGTGCACACACTTCTTTCACTGTATCCACTTCACTCTGAGGCCAAACCCACATCAGCATTTCTGGTGCTGCCAGTCTGCCAGTCATGCAAAGCTCCATATTTCCAAATTAATATCAATTTTACGATGATTTAATGTGTCATCTAAAAATTTATTCATCATCAAATGTAATGCAGTTTTGGGATGAAATGGCTTTTTGAATATCAGGTGGTAGGGGGCAGGGAAAGTTTGACCTTGAGACTGAGTGCAAAATGGTTAAAAAAAACTATCAATCAGTTTTACACCACATCCAATTTTATTCTGCTTGGTGTTCAAAGAGAAGACAGTCTGCCAAAGACCAATTCCACCATCCCAGACATGTCACCTCAAATATTTCAAATCGAGCCGGGGTTATTGTATGGCTAAATAATTTCCTGAAATATTATAAACTTGAACATCAAATGTCTTTTATTAATAACAGTACCTGATTCTTTCGTCACAGCCTTGGAAAAATCAGGATCATCATTCCCTGTTGTTTCTGTCCTAAAGTCGACATCTGGAAATTTAAACTTAGAAAATGAAACTGAAAATAATGCTGGAGCTTTAATGTCCACTGACATTTCAGGAGCTGAAACATCAAGTTGAGTCTTTGGCATCAATGTTTCAGCATCAATTTTCCCTTTTGTTTTTGGATCACCAATACTGATTTGTGAACTTTGTATCCCAGGCATTTTTAGATGGGCATCAACCTGTTTGAAATCAAAAGCTGCAACATTGTTATGAACTTCTACTGTTCCTGCTTTCACATCTATATTTCGTTCATTCTCAACAAGAGCAGTTTTTGAACGTGAGATGTCAACTGGAGAGACATTGATATCAACATTCGTTTTAAGAGGTTTCATCTCAGGCGTTAAAACTCCAAACTTGGTTGCTTTAAATTTTGGTATATTAAACTTTTCTCCTTTCCCTGCAATGGTAATATCACCTGCCTCTATTCTACCTTCACATTCTGGAGCAATCAAGTCAATTTTCAGTCCTCTACTATCGATCGGTGGTTTTTCAGCTGAAATATCGACGTCTGGCTGACTCACACTCATATCAACTTCAGGACCTTTCAACTTGGGAACAGAAACACCGAAAGAAGGCAATTTCATGGGTGGCATTTCCAACTTTGCACCATCATCTTTCATCTTCAGATCTGCTGAGTCTAAATGAACATCAACTGTTGGGAGATCCACATCAGTTGATGGAGCTTTAATGTCCACTGACATTCCCGGAGTGGAAACACCAAGTTCAGGCTTAGGCATAGACACATTCACATCTAAATCACCTTTCGCTTTTGGAACTTCATTGTCAATTGTAGGTTTCTTCTTTTCAGGCATTTTTAGAGTGACATTAGGACATTGCATGTCAATGCCCGCAACATTAATTCTATCTACCGCATTTTCTGGAAGTACATCTGCACTTGCTAATTTGACATCCAAATCAGCTTTTGGCAGTGAGACATCAACCTTGGGGAGATGTACATTGAAGTCCTTCATTGGAGCATTTTTATCAGAAGCTGAAAATCCAAGTTTTGGAAGTTTGAAAGTTGGAAATTTTATTTTTCCCACTTTTCCTTCAATGTCAACAACTGGTCCTGGCAGATCAGCTTCAAGTTCTGTAGCACTTACATCAACTTTAGGGCCTTTCAGATGTATCTCTGGGTTTTCAACTGAAATATCGACATCTGGCTTGCTCGCACTCACGTCAATTTCAGGTCCTTTGAATTTTGGAAGAGAAATCCCAAATGATGGCATTTTCACGGATGGCAGTTTGAACTTTCCTCCATCACTTTTCATCTTCATATCTCCTGATTCCAAACCCACATCTACTGTTGGCAGATCCACTTCGGTTGATGGAGCTTTAAGGCCCACTGACATTTTCGGAGCTGAAACTTCGATATCAGTTTTTGGGATAGACACATCAACATCTACCTTCCCTTTCGACTTTCGCATTTCGATGTCAAATTGTGGTTTTTCGACTTCAGGCATTTTTAATTCAAAATCAGGACCTTTGATGTCAATCTTCCC